TATTTGACATTTTTCTAAAATTGGATGGCGTGCTAGCGTAGGTGCTCCGGTAGGGTTTTGCTAGCGTGGATGACTATTGGTGCTTGTTCTTCAACGTAGCGGTGGTTAGAGTTGGTAAAAACCTATTTTAGTCCCTCACCTTATTAAATTTGAATATTTTAGTCTTTTACCTTGTATTATAATATTTTTAACCTTTTATTTTACTAAATTTATAAGTTTTAACCACTCATCTTATATTATGACACTTTTAATCCCCCACTTGTTAAAATTGAAAAAAATAGCTCTCACTTTGTAATATTTTATTATTCTATTAGCTAACTATTAGTTCTATTAATTGATTATTAGTTTTATTAATTGACTATTAGTTCTATTAATTAACTGTTAGTTGACTGTTAACTTATAAAAATCTTCTTTCAATTAACAGAGTTAACAGAATTAACTTTATAATATTTTGTTAATTCTGTTAATTAACTATTAGTTGATTGTTAATTGACAAAAATCTACTTTCAGCTAAACCTGACAAACGGGAGGGTTGGGTCGAGTTCGAGTCTAGTCAATTCGAGTGATGGATTATACGGATTGGGTTATAAACGGGTTGCCGGTTGGAAACATCTAACCCTAACCCAACCTTAACAGGTTACGGGTTAACCTGTGTGGTAACTTTATTTTCATTCTTTACAATTATTTTTCGTTAATTTTATTATACACAAATAAAATTATATATATCTAAATCTAATTAAAATATTATAATTCATTAATACTAAATACTTTATAGTTTCAATTACAAACATTTAAATTAAGAAAAAATAAAAAAGTTATAAATAATAATAAATTGATTAAAAATAAAAATATTAAACATAAAATATTTAAATTTTTTGAAAAATAAAGTTTTAATTTTATAATTATCTTGAAACATTATCAAGTAGTTTATCCTTTTTTTTAATGATGAAATTGCTCTTCCAAGAATATCTTTCACTAAGTTATTATGTTTATGTCCTAATATCACATCTTTTAATATTTTTAGTTGCATTAACATTTCATTCATGATACTTGGGTAATTGTTAATACAAAAAAAAAAAAAAAATGATACTTGGGTAATTAAATTAAACTTATCATAATTTCTTCTTCTTTTTCTAGAAACTAGAGAGTATGAATTAATGAAAAGGGTTACCAATAAATAGGAAAATTAATTAAAGATAATAAGTATAATATTTAAAAATAATAATAAAAAATAAAACAAACGGGTCAACTAGTCAACTCGTGGGTTGACTCTAACCCGACCCGTGACCTGTACGGGTTGATAATACAGATTATCTATGGGTTGCAGGTTGAGACCTGTAGACCCTAACCCATTTTTTATGGGTCGGGTTAAGGTCGGGTTGATGGGTCGGGTGGATTTTTGCTAGGTCTATCTGAAAGGTATTCCACTATGTGATAAAATTGTCAGAATCTACACTCAAATATTTTTCTCTCTTAGTGTTTTCCACTCCCCCATGATATAATCACACAAAATCACAATTTTATCACTCAATGTACTCTCTCTATGGAGCACACTCATACCTAAACTTAATGCCTATCTCTCACCCCTTTTTTTTCCTTCCACCCAAGCTCTTACTTTGCTCCTTGGTGTTGCACTCTTGCTTCTTGCTTGCTTGCCCATTGCCTTGCCATTGCATGGGTATTTATAGATGGAGAAACCAATTAGCCAAGTATTTTTTCTTCACCTCATTAAATGAGGTTTATATGCAATGGTTGAAATGAACATTGTAAATATTCAATAATGGCTGTTGTAGCTTACAGCCTTTTGTAATAGGATGGTAGAAATGGGGTTGGACTTTCATGGGCTGGAACTGGAAACTTCTGCCAACACTA